TTCCTGCTGTATTCTTCTAGGACAAGGATTCATTCATTTGCTGAGATGGGATCACTTTTTCTAATTTGAGTGTTTATTTTATTGCAGAAAATAAGGCAGTTGGAGTCATGAAGCCAGGTCATGTATTTACAATTGAACCAATGATCTGTGAAGGTGAGCAATTTAGCAATAGAGTAAAATGGTTACTATTGTTTACTGTTAAGTGGTGATGGAATAGGATGCTGGTTCTATTCTGTACAGTTGGTAAATTTTTCCATTTCTCTTCTGGGAACTGATACCTGTACCTTAAAAACAGTCAAAAAGTCATCATTTATGTTTTCAGGTGGTTGGCAAGATGAAACATGGCCTGATGGTTGGACTGCGGTAACAAGAGATGGAAAGCGCTCTGCCCAGTTCGAACACACTCTCCTGGTCACAGATACAGGCTGTGAGATCCTGACCCGGCGGCTGGATAGCATTCGTCCCCATTTCATGTCCCAGTGATAGTCTGGACTGAGCAGGTGGATCTGAACAGTACCTGTTGGGGTTTTTTTTTGTTGGTGGGTTTTTTTTTTTTTTTTTGTCTGTCTCTGTACTATGCATTTTTTAAGAGTACAGAATAGAGATTTCATCACTTACTTTGTTCTCAGTGATTGTAGATAAGAGGAATATCTTGAAGAACCTGACACGATGTCTGGAAAAGCAGAGAAGAATTTAAAGAATTTCCTGCTTTCCTCCTACCTACAACACTTGTGCTATATTTTTCTTTTTTCTTCAGTTCTCTCTTTAGCACCTTTCTTCCAATTAGACCCACAATTGCTTCCGTTGCTGCCATGATATTAGCTAGAAAAGCGTGGGTAACCTTTTCCACTGGGACTTGATATTTTGGGATCCAGGTTTTTTTCACCACTTCAGTGTGCCCCGTCTCTCTTAGTATGTGAGTGGCACCTGAGATTTTAAGCATTTCTATTCCAAAGACTTGCTCCTGCTTCTGCAGATACTGTTCTAATGGGCTGGGCCTTGTTTGTTTATCAGTTGAGAAGGGGGCAGAAGGGAGAAGACATGCATGTTGCCAAGAATGGGCTACTCTTACCTTTAACTCTGTCCCCATCTCTCTGCTGATGGCCTCTGTGGTCAGTGTGACTGCAGGTGACACACTGTGTTAATGGCAGGACTTGTTTCTCTTGCTGGAGATTGGGTAGTACGGGCTTCCTACAGGGGAAATTAATAAATTCTGTCTTATATGCAGCTGATATTTGCAGGCAGTCTCCTGCTCCAAAAGCTTGGTGAAGCTGATGTATCAGACTCGGCTAGGGAAAGGAATGAGACAGGAACCAAAAATATCCCGTGATTCACGGGATCCCCATGTGTGTTAACTGTGGGGCATTTTCTAAAGGTGCATCCACAGTAGCTGGGGGGGATTGGATTTGGAAAACTTACAGCGAAATGAGTATGTATCTAAACCAAGTCTGAGTGTGAGGAAAATGAAACACCTTCAATGCTGTATTCGTTTTCTTTTGGTAATTTTTAAACTGGTCATTTTTTTTACCCCTCAGTTAAGTGAGTTTCATGCTTTTGGAAAGTCTTAGGAGGGCAGCTATGAAAACTGATCTTTTCCCTCAGACTGGGTGTAGAGTGAGCAGTGTTAGTATATATACCCCTTTGTTTGCTGTTAATGGGTCATGATGAGCTGGAAACTGTCGTGGTCAGGAGCGTGGATTGATTAAGCCTCTCTTCTCTCTACCCTCTCTTTTCCCATGCCCACTTCCTTTCCATTCTCTTTGGTGTCTCTGCTGAGGGAATTTATTTTTCTTCTGAATTGTAATGAAAATTTTTTCGGACCCCATTGCAGACTCAGTCTTATACCACTGTAATGCACAAAATAGTTAAACCAATGCAGACATCAAATCTTACAATCATGGGCATAAAATACACCTTTTACAAGGTGTCTGGTGAATTTGTTGCCACATTAGACCCAAGTGTATGAGGTACTGCATACCTTTGGCTCCCCTTGGCACTGCAGAATTTAGGTGGGAGAAAAGGGTTGGTGCTTCATAGAACTGGACTCGTGTACTACCAAATACCAAATTTGCCAGAAAATGTCTTCTCTGCCCAGAGTGCCTCAGACCTCTGTTGCTGTATCATTGCAATGTTTTCATTACCTTTATTATTATTTTTAATTATGCAGTAAAGTGACCTGAAATGATGCATATAGAGTGCGTGTGCGTGCGTACGTGTGCGTGTGTGCATAGATTTTAAGAAAACAGACTGTAGTACTTGAGTGGAATTCCCTGCGTGGGATGAGATGTGATGTATTGAGGAGATGACTGTCCTGGAGGTTTGCCCACGGTATCATTCACTTGAATGGTTACAACGGTCTTGCCTTTTCTATATGTATGTGTATGATGGGGGGGAGGGGGCTTCATTTTTGGTCTATAAAATAAAAGTTGCAGCTGCTTTTAACAGAAATTACATTTTTTGTGATCCAAACCCAGACATAGCATTCTCAATTATGCCCCGGTTTGCTTGCACTAGTGCAAGCCCTACTGGTAGATGCATGCAGCCGGTTAAAAATCACTCTTAAACCTGCACGTGTCACTTGAATACCTCTGTCGTTGCACTAATACAACCAAATTCAACACTCCACATTTTTAATACAGGTAATCTACGATGCTTTGCATTTCTACCTATAAATTGAAATCACACCATGAAAACTTTATACTGAATTCATACTACTACAGTATTTTTAAACAAGTGAAAAGCTTACTCACATCTACACCAGTTCTTTCAATGTGAGGTAGCTCATCAGCCCGGAGAACAAAATTTTATTTAATAAAAATACTGAAAAAGGCTTTTTCACCTGTCTAGTTGTAACCTTGCTTCAACATGATGTGTTAGACTTGTGCTGACTGGATTTGGGAAATTACCTATTTTTGATTTTTACAGAAGTTGCTATCTACTTAAAAAAAAACCAACACAAAACCAAACCACCAGCTTCAATCTACTGATGAAGTTTTTAGAAATTGTATACATATTTGCCAAAAACACAATCCAGCAATTAGTTCTGAAACCATCTCTTAAAGTATTTTCCCTTTACTATCATGTAAGAGTGTGGAAACTCTTCATGCTGTTTCTGTAGATTGACATGAATATTTAAGGAGAGAAGATTTGATAGCTAATGTTGAATAAAAGTTAACAGCACGAGGAGAGGGGACAAACTGCATCTGTTACATGACAGCCAGCAGAGTACGTACACATTTCACATACAGTCATTTGGTGGAAACTTTTTGTCCACTGAAGTCCTTACAGTTGTCAAGAGGGTCAGTTCAATACCATACCTTGATCACCAAGAATGGGGTACAAGCTCTTGTGTTTATGAGTCACTCTGTCAGCTCAGCAACTTCAAAGAGACTACTTCAAACGTGCTCCATTCAATCAACTGCTTTGCAGGACAAAGTAGTCTGAAAACTGCTACATAAGGGCTGGGAGATCTATTCTTCAAGTTGGGAAGAAGCTGCAAGTGACCCGAGTGCTCTGGTATCACTACATGTCTTTGTTGTTGCCTTACCCTGGTATTACAAGACTAGCTTTCCATAAACACTCCAAGATGCAGATTCTCTAAATTAATAATGTAATGCAGACAACATGATTGTACGGTCTTGATCGAGTCTGTGCAGCCTAGAGGAACGACTATTTCCAGTGACAAATGGAAAAGATGTAATTGTCCCAGTTGTAGAGCAGTGTCTTGGGGTAAGGTAGTTTTTAGTAGTGAGAGGGAATTTCTTTTAAAAAGATTACTGTTTGCATTTAGAGTTCTCTGTAACGGCTGTTCTGACCAGGCTCCCTTAAAATAGGCAACTTCTCTCTTAATCAGTGCCCTTGGCTCACTGAGAAGCACTGACTTTTTATGTCTATAACTCTTCTTTAACTGGGTAGGCTTTCTGCGTCTGCTTTGCAGTCTGTTTTCTGCTGTTCCTCTGTGTTTTTCCAGACCTGTGACACTGCTTCCAGGTTTCAATTCAGACAAGTTTTATCCAGTCAGATCACTTCAACTATAGTGAAGAAGAAAACCTGCAACTGCAAAATTAAGACTTAACCCCTCCAACAAACAAACAAAAATCCCTCAAAACCCTGAAGCCTCCAACACACACTACTCTTTACTGTTGTTCCCCTGCACCTCTCGAGGGCAGACTGTTGCTCCAATAGTAGTGTTCCATGCTTCAATGGCATGATCTTGTTTCTGACTAGATAGAAGTAACAATCCCACACTGCTGCTTTTTGCAGTTGGCTGCAAAGGCTGCTTCAAGTGCCAGTTAAGTTTGAGGAAATGGCAAAACTGTGCTATCACCACTGGGGCAAGCAACTAGAGTAGGCTATGCCATCATCTTTACAACAGGCCTGTCTACAGCTACTGTAAGGAGCCAGATAGGAAATAAGGCAGAATATGGACTTCCCAAGTGAACAGAGGTACGCCTGGAATCTTGGGTCGTACATCCAGTCCCACACTGCTCTCCAGTTCGTTTCAAAGTAGAGCTGGATGATGTGTCCTTTGTAGTCCTAGAATAGCCTCAGAAGCTTGGCAGCTGTGGGAGTTTTTGCCGCTTTCTCAGTACAGCTACAGCACATCAGTGCTGCTTCTCAACCCAGCTGTGCTTAGCAAACTGCTGTGAAATGAATCCCACATCATTTGCTATTGACTCTCAAGAATGCTCTTCCTCCCTTACACAAAAAACAACTGTAAAATCACTAGAGGAAAACAGTAAGACACAGTAATCTTAGTCGCAGTCTTGATGCTCAATAATTCCAACACTGTGTTTAGAAATAAGCTTTTATTAAGTAGATTAATTGAGTTAGGCACTATTGAATTTGAAGAACAAATACAGAACTAGAAATTCCACAACCAGTGCTAATTATATAACACCATTCAGTGGTTACAGATTTTTTTGTTATTTAATATTCAGAATGCTCACTCTAAAATATACATCATCTTCCTAGTCCCAGTGATTTTCATTTGCTTGATTCTACCCTCTATCAGAGATTCCATTATAAAAGGGCAGTTCCCGTGTTGCTGGCCAACCAGAAGGTCCACAGTTGGCTCTAAAGCTTTAGGACAGTTCGAATGCTTAAAATGGAAAAGAGAAAGGAAAAAAAAAAAGAAGTTACCAGTAAGTCCATTTTCTCCCCTTCTCTCCCCTCCCTTTCATTGCTGAGACATACTTTAACTTAACTTCTGTCTCTTGTAAGAATTAAGTTATGCTTATGCCTAAAATCTTATTAAAAATCCTGGTTAAAAATAGCTTAGTAATGCTCATTATCTTCTTTTTTTTTTTGTCTCGCCCCCAGTAAGATGTACTCAAAATGGAAGCTTTTTCAAATTACGTGAGCGTCAGTTTTCAGTAGCTAGCCAAGAATGTTGATCAGGATCATTAATATTTACAGGCATTCCCTCTTTTGGCTGCTTGGAGAATTTTAAGTAACTTTTGTTATTGGTTTCATAGGACACACTTACATAGGAATAAAGCATTGAAATGATACAGTAGTTTG